TTTCATAGACCTTCCATTAACATGGTATAATGTAAGATTGTTCAGCTACAATCGATCTAGACATATGCATGGAAATTTCCATAGACCTTCTATTAACATGGTATAACGTAAGATGTTCAGTTATAATCGATCTAGACATGTACATAGAAATTTCCATAGACCTTCCATTAACATGGTATAACGTAAGATGTTAAGCTGTAATCGATCTGGACATGTGCATAGAAATTTCCATAGACCTTCATTAACATGGTATAACGTAAGATGTTCAGCTATAATCGATCTAGACATGTGCATGGAAATTTCCATAGACCTTCCATTAACACTGCAAAATTTAAGATATAAGGTTATAATTGATCCTGACATGTATATAGAGATTTCCATAGATCTTCTATTGACACGGTAAAATGTAAGATGTTCAGTAACGTTATAATCGATATAGAAATATGCATGGAAATTTCCAAAGATTTGCTTAAGTGACATGGTATAATGTATTATTATCTCTATGGTAATGTCTGCATATACATTTGTAGAAAAGATTCTCAGAAAAATCGTTGTCAGATATGCCATATACTACTTGGTATATCTAAAGCACGTCTGTATAAATCTCATTAAATAGTTCCCAAAAGAAATTCTGTCCTTTTTGTAAAAGTTGTTGTAATCAATTCAACTGTGGAGTGGTTATTATAGACTATTAAACTATTTTTCTTCAATATAGTTGAGTGTCCTGGTCAGAAAGATACATTGTAGAGTACATGTTACCCAACATATACTGAAGTGGCAAAGAAGCGTCTCTTTGATTGTGATTTTTACCAAATTTTCTTTACTTCAGAAAATCTGCCCTTAAAAAAATTATGTGTTTTTAACAAATGTTACGTGACTAGTAAAAACAAGCGCGCGCGGTAAAATAGTCTTTGCATTTGCTCACGTCAGCAGCCCACACCCATTGGCAAATGGTGGACGCTGAGTTGACCAATTAGAGCGCGCTCTTTACTTTGGTTATGTTATAACAGTAGATGGTAAAAATAGCATGACGTCTTGTAAGTATTACTTGGCAGGAACATCAATTGCTTAAATCACTTCGTTTATTTATTTGTTTATTTACTTGGCTTCGCCTAATTATCTTAGGCAGGGAGACTACCACAGCCTAGCCAATTACAGTGGACCGGATCCCTCGTTGACAGTGACACATAGGCCAGACCACAACACCGGGAGCTACATTCCCTACTCTTTGCGATAAGTGCGTGGACTCTTTTAAGTCCTCTGCTAACCAGTACAGAGAAGATTTAGGAGACGGGACCTACGGTTTTTCGTCTTTATTCGAGAAGAAGAGATTGTGTAACCTTTTGCAGATGTCATAGCAAAGGCAGCACGTCNGTGATCGCTGAAAAGAGATGCCAATTTGACGTTGATAGTTTTGAGTTAGTCATTTTGAATCACGCCAAGCACTTTCGTGATCTCGCATTGCAGTTTTCTCAAAAACGTGTCCAGTACAATAGTCCTGCTATGCAGATTGAAAATACTTTTGCATTATGTGAAAATTTCAGGGATCTGGATTTATCATGCAATGCCTCAATCACCACTATAGAGTTCATTGTGGAGATAAATTGTTTAACGAGTCTGATTTTGACTGGCTGCACAAGTATTGAGTCGAACAACACAATGATATGTCTAAAATAGAATGGTAGTTGCCTTAAAGTGCATATGACAAGTTTTTTTTTTCGATGAATTTTCTTAGTTTATAGTCTTTGGTTCACGCCTGAAATATTTAGATTTGTTCTGTAAAGAAATTTAATATACTTTTTTCCCTTCAAAACTGCGCTAGTTTCGGCCATTATCTTACCGGAGCCTGGTAATGAATATTTGTAAGTTAATTTATGCGATTCTAGTGATTCAGCGGTGTTGTTGCAAGGAGAAATTACACGCTACCCACTCTGATTATATTGGTAATTTGGTCGACTCTACTATGATACATCCATAGGAGATCTTGGGATTAGTACAAAATAGTCTAAGACAAGATTCTTTAGAACCACATGAATTCCTATTGGGTGTCTTTAATTCACCAGGCACTCACTTACGTAGCGAGCCCCACATTATCATTAGCAACCCAAGACCGTCTTCGTTCATCTTATTGTTCTGAATCAGGGGAATAGAATATGTATCTGCGTTCTGGCCTGATCAGATACTTCATCTATTTATTATAAACCATCCGTTCGGTAATTATAATTTTCTGTCAAATCGCTAGACCCAGACTCTTCCTTTCTATTTTGCCTTTGATCTTGGCTTTTGGAATAAACAGCCTTGCATTTATTTTATCTTAATTCTCTGCAGACCAAATTTTTTAGTCGTCAAAACGGCGATATGCATCTACGTTTCTGCATAATAATTTATGCACCACCATTACGAGCAAACAAACGCTATCTTTCGTTCGAAATCGGTGATTTTCGTGCGCAGACTGAAGTCTGACGATGTGTTTGACCCAACCAATCGATATCGATTCGGAAGAGCAATACTGCCAATGCTAGCTTCTTAGGTGACGGAGTCGATAAGAAGGCGGAGACCTTCCGATGAGTGCTCTAAGGGGTGAAATTAAAATATTTCCCACGTACTTAAAGCAACGCACTCTTCAATCAGCTGTGTTGTCAAGTGAAGCGCGTGTACATTTTGTGAAGGTGCGTTCGATCCTCACCATGTCTCGCTATGCAATGGATAAACATTACGGCGAATGGATGTTATCTCGATGGTACGACAACATTCCGGGTCCTGACAGACTAGTGGAAGTGTCTACGTCACTAAATGAAGAAGAAGCGTACGATTTTGTCAATGCTTGGTCCAAGAAACTTCTTACGCCCGCTCTCGACCCAGAGCGTCTCAAAAGCATCACGGAGTCTTTGATCACAAGCCATTGGAATCAGGCTTGCAGAATGGGTTGCCTTGCCGTGCAGTTCACGTACATCAATGGTTTTTATCATCGATTTGTGTGGAGGGTTTCTTAATCAAACGTTGTTCGTTCCTCATCACATCCGGACTGAGACATCTTGATTCACCACCGGTACAAACAAATCAAAGATTTGATCTGTGATTATTAACTCAGCACTACGATTCTTGAGACTTAAAGTTAGTCGTGTAGAGCACTGTTTTTTTTTTTTTCGCAGCAAGAAACTGTTTGATTTACGTTTATTCTTTAACTGAAGACCTTTGGTGTTTTGATGTTTCTGCTAGACGCTGCAGGAGCTCATATCACAATATATATGAGCAGTGCGAAAAATTAACAAATGTTATTCATGACCTTTGAAATCTTTCATCTGCAAACAAACTGTGTCAATTTGTAAAACTTATAAAGGCTCTGGGTTTTCTACCAAATTAATTAAAGTGAAAATTGTCGGGAAAACTATTTTATTCCCAAGCTTGATCTTTTCTTTTGGACGATTATGCAAAAAGTATGATTGTTAGTGACGGCGGAATTTCCCTCAAACAAATCAACATGTGTAGGAAAATAAAAGCTTATTAAACAGCGTTATTGTGAAAATGTTAGATGTTGAAATAAGAAAAGGGAATGACGTGACCCGCATGCTGTGATGTCGTGCGCCTTCTGGAAAGGAAAACAGGAAAACTTTAGGATCGTGTACCGTAATAACATCTTAATTTGGTGATGTCACCCGAGATTCATAATTTTTTTCCCGTCAAAATGTGTCTTTAAAATCATCGCCTTAAACCGCCAAAATGCAATTTTTGTGAACTCGTAAAAAATCAAAATCCCATTTGTAAGCTCGCAAAGATTTAGAAGTTTACCTCGTGGAATAAACTGTGTTCTGTAGCGTATTACAAGCGAGAAGCGTGGGGAAGATTCCAAACACCGCTGGTTGTCGTTCGTACTTCGTGAACGACTTCGTCGTCCGAGTGCTAGCCGAGTGGCGACCAACTTTCGGGTTTTCGGTTCATCATACGATTTCGCCAGTCCAAACTGAATACCTTTCCGTTTTTCGGTCTCGGCTCCAGTGGACATCAGTGAGAAACATAAGTGACTGGGAATAACTCGCTCTGAAAAAGGCCTGATCATGCTCGAAACGTCAGCTCCAGAAACTCTTGCCATTTTGCAACATGAACCCAGTTGATAAAACCAAATTATCTTGCCAGATACGCTTGACCAACGAGGCACCACAATTTCTTACCCACTTTCTTACCCCCTTTATTCAAATTCAATTGACTTGGACAATTTCAAACAAATTTAATCACGAATGTTGATTGACTTTATCGTTCCATCGAAGGAAGCGTTAGAGAAAAAATGTAAATACGGTACTAATAAAGGTGGATGACGTTCTCTTTTAATTACACGTAACTGGTTGTGGAAAGTTTCCAACTTGTCTTCATATTTATTTAATATTTTTCAACACAAAACTTAGTGACAAGATGTTTCGCCTGACTCTGGCTGTCATTTACATAGATATAAGATTGTAACAAGGAATATTTCCATCATGGATGTACTAAGTTAGTACATCCACGGCAAAATCTCGAAGTTACAACATGTACATACAAATGAAAGTCATCAAAAATCTTGCTGACGCGAAAATGTCATTTCTACCTTAGATTACAGGTGATATGTACTTATTTTGATTTGGTCGTTGACAATCTTGCACTTAATTTGATAAAAGCTCCATCTACGCACGTTTTGCGTCGCAACAAGAGTAGTAAAGCTCCATAATGCTGCATACGAGGTGAATCTAACTAAGACAGCCCGGCGGGCCTTTCTTGCATATTGGCCTCAAGCTTTTTAATTAATGGACTTCCAATGAAGACAGGTGCATGATTGAGGACAAGAATTAAAACGACAGGCGTCAAAATGTAACAAACAAAAAACTGTCATTTCTGTGACAAGACACTGTCGTATGTAAATAACTGTTGAAAGAGCTTCTCTACCCAGCATCCGTTATTACATCCTTTCCTTTTTTTTTTTTTTTTAACTCTATTTCATTTGAAGAATTATTCGGGGCACGTACAACGGTTCTGACTCACAACTTGTGGGCGCACATTGTTGTGCATGTACATCTAGTTGCTCAAGATTGCTGATTGTTATAATTTCGCACAAACACCGAGAGCCTCTGTAGTCCAGGTTAGCGAGATCAAATTTCATTTCATGTAAACGAGTTCAAAAATTCTGAACACGATGTCAACCTTTTATGACATTTCTTATGAGCACATTTTTCCAGTTTCCACCGTTTCTATGATTAAAAAAAATTATCTAGTATAGTAAATGATTTTCTTCGGTCACGATTTTTCGTTGGTTTTAAAAAATTTCGGCGTGTTATTTGCGGTGAAAAACCAAGTTTTGAGACGATGTGTGGTGTGTCATGAAAATGTGATCATGACTGACTATCAAGGTAGATGTTATTAATTGAAATGATACACTTTCTTAACGTTCTTTTGCAACAAATGCAGGAATATGAACAAGAAGATGGTGGCATTTCTCTTCCTTGTTCATCTGATGGCTCATTCGATAGTAGGTCAAGTAACAGGTTAGTGCTTTCATTTATGACTTTGCAGGGTGGTGTAGGGAAACAAATTCCCCTTACAGGGAAATTATCTTAGAGACCATGAGAACACAGCAGTTAATCGTGAAGCATGTGTAAGGGGGTCAATTTTGGCCTGCAGCACGCCAATTGACGCCTAAACTTCTAATAAAAAGACAAGAAACATTCGTTGTCACACAAATTACCTATAAGAAATTGAAACGTCAACAGAAATCGGAAAAGGGAGGCCATGGCGGAAAACTTGTGACTTTTCGAACAGAAAGCCCATTTCCACATTAAAGCACACAATCCGGAATCGCTGCCCGTCGAGACCTTCTAGGGATGTGTAGCACTTTTTGGGTGTCACGTTCAAAAGGCTCCCACATGTTCAAACGGCTCCCAGTTTGATACACTTGGTGAACTTACTTGCTTACTTACTTACTTACTTACTTACTTACTTACTTACTTACTGCCCATCACGCCTGTGTGGCACATAGGACAGCAGGGAAATCTTACCAACCCTACCAATCTTTAGCGAGGTTTTCAATGGTGCTCCAGCTGTAATTGAGTTCCCTTAGTCCCTTCTCTACAGTCCTGCGCCAAGTTGTTTTCGGTCGCCCTCTACTTCGTTTGCCTTCAAGGTGTCCAGCGCATTGCAATTCTGGCTACGTTGTTACGGAGCTTCCGCATCACAAGTCCGATCCACCTCCATCTTCTCCAGGTGACAAGTGTACGAATATCCTCCTGCTTGGTTTGCCTCAGTAGCTGGTCGTTTGATATTTTCTGAGGCCAGAAGATTCTCAGAATCTTCCTGAGGCTAGCTGTGTGGAAGGATGCTAGTCTTGAGAGGTCTTGTTCTGTCATTCGCCAGCATTCCGAGCCGTAAAGGAGAGTTGACAATACGCAGCTCTGATAGATTCTAAGTTTCGTCTTTGTGTTGTGGCTTGCTAACCTCCACACTGATCTTGAGCCACTCATAAAGGCATATCTTGCTTTGACACGTGGTGAAGGCTCGCATTAATTTCGTAAGTAGGTCTCTCTTGTAGACGATGGGAAGTCTAGTTAAGAAATTATGCCTTATAGGGAATGAGTCCGCGCTCCGCACCCCACTGACGAGACTGGGCGCATGCACCTTGTTGTTTTTTATTTCCACCAATCAGAGGTTTTCCTACTCAAGTCGCACAGGATATACAAGGCAGAATACACCTTGTTGTTTTTTATTTCCACCAATCAGAGGTTTTCCTGCTCAAGTCGCACAGGATATACAAGGCAGAATCAAAGACTTAAAAAATCGGCCGAGACCGAATCTAAATTATATTTGGTGTAATCCCATATGTTAGCAAGGCTCATGAAGGTAAAATACGTCGATCAATTCAAAGCTTCAACATCCCCTTCTCGGGTAAACCCCTAGGAAAGCAAACTTTCCAAGAAAATTGAGATATAACATTGTATTCAAATGCCCCAATCGATTTTTTTTTTTTTGCAAAAAGGCAAAATCAGCCTGATCGTGACTTCCTACACATTGATTAAGCTTCAAAACCTAGACCTTGTAGACTTTTCTTCTGAGCCATTCGTTCGCGAAAGTGAACTGTTTACCTTTTAAACACCTATTTTAAAGATATAACACTTGTATTCTGCTAGAAAGACTTCATCCTTCCGGTTCAAATTCCCTACCCCAGCCAGACAAGGTTCAAATTCCCCACTGACGACGATTGTTGAAGGCTTCGAATTGATCGGCGCATAAACAAGTTAAAGATGGGACTGCAATAAAAAAAATAAAGAAAGGATTACAGGAACCTTAAGAAATGTATATTCAATCATGCTATCATTTTTTTCGTCTTGCAGAGTGTTCATTTAGCGGTTTTCCTGGTGATGACAGTATTTTTTGCAGAGGGCACACAGGGCAAGATTCACCATGCACAAATGAAAGAGAATGTTGTATGAACCCCATTACGCCGGGATGCTTCAATATGTCAGTTATTCAAGGTCAGATAGTTCTTTAATTGAATGGTAAGCTTAAGTGATTGCCCACGTAATTGTGGAGTTTTAGGTTGCAGATTTTGCGCTACGTTCTTTTACGGAAAAAGTCCGATTTTAGACGGGGTTCAACTTTGGACTTTCTCCAATTTCGGACGGTGTTTTACACGACTCGCGAATTTTGATTGCGTGTGATTTGGATGGTCTCCGATATATATATCTTATTAACCAGGCGCGAAAGCCGTACTGGGAGAATATCGGCCCGAGGTCTTGACAGTACGGACCTCGCTGCGCTCGGTCCGTACAAAAAAGACCGAGTACGGTCCCGAGCAAGCTTGGTTAATAAGAGATTTATTATATGATTGAAGTTCGAAGGAACACAAGTGCGGTATCATTCGGTATCATTCGGGACAGTGCCCGGTCCAATACTGAGAGAATATTGACCGGCAATAGAGCATTTTGATTGGTTGATTTTAGTTATCGGCCCTCTGACTGCCCGAGTCGTGTGATAAAAGAATATATTCGATTTCAGAAAGAGTCTAATTTCAGGAGGCGCACTATTTGTTACGGCGTCTAATTATGGACGGAAGACGATAATCGTCGGCGTGCATGGAGTTTGGGACGATGTCCGATTTCTGTCTTTCATTTGCGTCCGAGTTTGAACGGCGTCTTATTTGATACAAAGGCCGATGTTCTACGATGTAAAATTTTAGACTGTTTAGATTCTGGCCTGGATTGAACGAGGCGATGGGAGATATATCGAATTTCTTCAGTTTTCTTTCTTTTTTTTTTTCCTGTGTAATTTCCTTTTGTTGTTTCTGTCATATCTTTGATGGGCTTGATTATGCACATTCATTCCTTTTATTTAAAGTTTACGGTTTGTGGAGGCCACCTCGTGTCTGTTCCACGAAAGACTTCTCTGTAAAGCAGACTGGCAACTCAACTAATAAAGTCATAGACGGTCACGTGATAGACTATCATAAGGTCGTATCTCGTACACAATGCGGTGACTTCTGCATACGCGAACCTCGATGCAGTGCATTTAATCTGGCAACTTTCACAGACCACGAAGGCAAAATGGAATGTCAGCTGATGGACAATGATGAAAGAATCATTAACAGAAATGGATTCAGTTTTTGGCATCTCGACAGAGATTCGTATATAGAGGTAATGTAGGCTGCGGTTCTCTTACAGAATTTTTGAGACCACCCCTCTTTTTGTCCCAAATCTCTCTAGTTTTAAGTTTCTAAGC